AAGTTGGGCACTTTTCAATCTCAGTAGTTCTGGAATCTGAGGATGGGAAGCAATTTCAGATAATCAATGTTTGTGGGCCTTCAGTTGCTGGGCTGCACACAAATTTCTGGGCAGAACTGGCTTGATATGAGAGGCTCTTTAGTGTCTGTGGGTAATAGGTGGTGATTTCAATGCTACTCTTTCTTCAGAGGAAAGGAATTCAAGAAATAGAAGATCCAGGGAAATGAGTTTGTTTGCTGAATTTATTAATAATTTTGAGCTGCTGAATCTTCCTTTAATAGGAGCTCAATTTACCTGGACAAATAATCAAGAAACTCCCTCACTGGTAGGCTGGACAGATTTCTTGTCTCTTCAAATTGGGAGGAAATTTACCCAGATTTTAAACAGCTGGCCCTCCCTAGACCAGTTTCAGATCACACTCCAATTCAGCTTGTTTGTGGGAATAGGGAAAAGGTAAAGACTCCTTTCAAATTTGAGAACTCTTGGTTTAAAGAAGTTGGTTTTTTATCTATGCTGGAATCAGTGTGGCAAGATTTCCGGGTGGAGGGTACTAGCTCATTTGTCCTTGCAAAGAAGTTGGGAGCAATTAAGGATAAGGTTAAGAACTGAAAGGCAGAAAAAGGTGCAGATTTTGAAGTGGAGAAAACTAATTACTTGAAAATAATTTCAGATATTGACAAGGAAGAAGAGGGAAGTCCAATTTCGGAAGAATTGAGATTGAGGAGAATTCAGGCAAGACTAGATTTGATAAGGAGACAGTGAAAGAAGAGATTAAATGGAGACAGAGAGCTAAGATAACCTGGCTAAGGCTAGGTGATAGAAATTCCCATTTCTTTCACAAAATGGCCAATGCCCGTATGAGAGTGTCTTCAATCAGAAAGCTGGAATGGGAGGATAAAGTAGGGGATTCAGTAGATGAAATCAAGTCAGTAGCTATAGCTTTCTACAAAAATCTATATAAAGAAAAATGGGACAAGAAACCTTTTCCTCTAGATTTACCCTTCAAGAAGCTGAGTTCAGAGCAGAAGATGTTCCTTGAGAGACCTTTTTCAGAATAAGAAATCAAATCAGCAATCTGGAATCTAGATGGGGACAAATCTCCTAGGCCGGATGGCTTGCCTAATTTGTTTTATATTAAATGTTGGGATTTCATCAAGTCTGATCTGCGAAAGGTGTTCCAAGATTTTCAAAGAAATGCTTCTTTACACAGAAGTCTTACTTCATTTCCTTAATCCCTAAAGTGGATGGGGCCACAAATATCAGGGACTTTAGGCCCATCAGCCTTCTAAATAGCTTCTACAAGATTCTTGGAAAGGTGTTAGCAGTGAGAATGAAGCAGGTGCTAAGTAGTGTTATTTCTAATAATCAGTTTGCTTTTGTGGTGGGGAGACAAATGCTGGATTCTGTTTTGATTCCAAATGAGCTTATTGACTCAAGATTAAGGGAGGGTTCCCCGGGGCTGGTGATAAAGCTGGATATTGAAAAAGCATATGACCATGTTAATTGGAGGTGTCTGGATCAGGTTCTGGAGAAAATGAATTTTGGTCAGAAATGGAGAAATTGGATAAAATTGTGTTTCTTCTCCCAAATTCTCAGTGCTGAGGCAATCAGTAGGGTTTTTTGATAGTTCGAGGGGTCTTAGACAGGGGGACCCACTATCTCCGCTGCTCTTTATCTGTATTTCAGAAATCCTGACCCAGTTCTCATTAAAGGCAGCAACAAATGGCATGTGGGATGGTTTTGCAATTGCTCCGGAAGCGGAAAAGGTTAATCTATTGCAATTTTCTTATGACACTCTCTTGATCAGGCGGATGTCCTACTTGGTATTCTTTGTTGGTTTGAAGTTGTTTCAAGCCTAAAAGTTGATCTTCATAAAAGTAAGATTATCCTGGTGGGTCTTGTTCCTAATATGGATTCTTTTGCTAAAGTGATGGCTTGCCAGGTGGAGTACCTGCCAGGTAAATACCTTGGCCTTCCTCTAGGTGCCAAATGTTACTCTTCTGCTTTATGGGATCCAGTTATTGAGAGAGCGGGGAAAGAATTGGCATCCTGGAAAGCAAAATATTTGTCTATAGGAGGGAGAGTGGTCCTTATCAATAGTACCCTTGCCAACCTCCCTACCTATTTAATGTCCATGTTTCCTATGCCATCCAAAATTGCAAAGAAACTTGAGAAGATGCAGAGAGATTTTCTCTGGAGAGGGTGGGAAGAAGAGAAGAAGATGCACCTTGTGAATTGGGATCAAGTTTGTCTTCCTAAGGCAGAGGGTGGATTAGGTCTTAGAAGACTAAAGGTGGTCAATGTGGCTTTATTGAGTAAATGGTGTTGGAGGACCTTAATTGCAACAAAATTTGGAGTGGATTGGGGTAATTGGAAATCTCAGGATCCATACACAACATGGGGTTGTTCGGTTTGGAAAGGGATTCTAAAATCTCTTCCTGTGATGTATGAGGGAGTGAGACTTGAAGTGGGAAGTGGAACTAGGCTGAAATTCTGGAAAGATCCCTGGTGCATGGACAGACCTTTAGCTGAGGCATTTCCCCTTCTGTTTCAATGTGCAGTTAATCAAGAAATTTCAGTGGCAGAGTCCTATGTGATTTCTAACAACTCAGTGACCTGGAACCCTCAATTCCGAAGAGATTTATTTGATTGGGAAATAGAAGGTGTGATGCAACTTCTGCAGATTTTACAGGAGCAGATGATAAGCATTGCAGGTGAAGATGAATGGAGTTGGTGCTGGAGTAAGGATGGCTGTTTCTCAGTCAAATTCCTTACCTTGAAGCTTAGTAGTATGGGTAATACTGAGTTCCCCTATCAGCAAGTATGGAAGTTCTGTGCTCCCTCGAAGTCTGTATTCCTTGTTTGGACTATGGTGCTGAACTAATGTCTCTCAAGACTCAACCTGGACAGAAGGGGCATTCAGCTCCCTTCTCTGATGTGTGGTTTGTGTGCCTTGTTGCCTGAGTCCACCGACCATTTGTGCTTGCATTGTTCTATCTCCTCAAAAGTCTGGTACCATTTCATTGGAGCGGCTGGTCTTAATTGGGTTATGCCAAAGTCAATGAAAGATCTGCTGTTTTGATGGAATCTACAAGGTTTGAAGAAAAAAGGTAGTTTAATCTGGAGAACTATTCCCGCGGCAGTGATGTGGGCAGTTTGGGCTGAAAGGAATAGAAGAATCTTCAGCAACAAAGCTAAGAGCACGGAGGAGATAGTACAGCAGGCGGTCAGCAAGCTGATTTCTTGGGTGGCTGTTACACCTGATTTTAAAGATCTAAATGTTCCTGAATTAGTTAAGCCCACTTCAATTTGGGGTCTGTAGCCTGTCCTAAAATCTGAGCAGCTACTTGTGGCTGGATCTTTTGTTCTAATGAGATATTTGTTGATTTAATAAAATTATTACTTTACCTTTCAAAAAAAAATATCACGCTGTAACCATGTATTCTGGACCAATGGGCTACTCTTTCAAAGCTGAGTTACTACCAGCACTACACAAAATGAACTTGTCATGGATAGGGGGGGTAGAGTTGGATGGTCATAAGTCTACTATAGGATCAATCATTAGGGCCTTCTTTTGGAGAGTTATCAATCCCAATTTTAGCAGATTTCTCAACAACAGAAAAGAGGATTAGCAATGTGAAATATTAAAGAGTTACAACAGTATTCAACTGGTCCATGTAAAGAAAGTCTTTTAACATTTAAAAGTTAGTTTTTAGGAACCAGCCCTTGCAAGAGCTCAAAAACATCTATATCTATAAGAGAAGAAATGCACAAGGGTGTGGGTGAAGTGGTGAACTATTCTCAGGATAGTGGACTCTGAATGAGGTGGAACATATCTCGAGTTTGAATTCAGATGGAAAGGTTGATGGAGATTCAACATCCTCTAAGATTCCTAATCTTAGAAACCGAGCAAGCAGTGATAAAATATAAGTTGGTAAGGAGTTGAGGTAATGTGATTTAGACTTTAGAGAACAATAGTGAGAAGAAAAAGGAGCTGATAGTTTTGTTTTCCATGAAGAAACTGTTCAAAAGAAGATGGACTTTAGTAGGCCAATCAAGAAGAATGTACAAGTTGCTAAGAGTCTGGAACTGTTCTTTCTGGGTGGAGAAGAATATGCTAAAAGAGTTTACCAAATCAGAAAAATAGAGAGCACTCAAAAATCAGGATTAGCAATTGATGATGGATGTGATATATTTGAAACTGGTCATAACGATAAGCTGGATGAAGAGAGAAGTAAAACCAAATGATGACTTCCAGGGTAGTATTGTGGGACACTAATATTAGTAGAGCTTCTGCTTGGAGCAGTCGTCTATTTAAGCTTTTAGGGCTGGTCCATCTATTTGCTTTAAGTTGTTTGGCATTTGAAAGCTCCGGCTTGTATTTAGTTGTGGGTGTAATTTGATTTTAAAGACCTGCTTGAAGGTATAGTCTTTTCTTTTCTTTTATTATTTTGGCATTTGTTTTTCAATTTCTAGTGCTGTCTGTGTTGGAATGTTCGAGGTGCTTGGGCCGGAAAGCCTCTATATGCTACTTGTATAACTTCTCTCTTTTTATTTAATAAATTTTACTTTGTTACCAAAAAGAACTTATTAAAGAAAAGAAGGAACAATTATAATCTTTAGTGATAAGAAAACACCATCAACAAACAAAAGCAAAACCCAACCATACCCACGCTATATGCCTATATCTCCCCCCCCCCCCCCAACCGTCACTTTCATACCTCCTCATCCAAATACCCCTGTAGCTTCTGTTAAAATCCCCTTTATATCTCTTATCAAACATGCCACGCCTTAGTTAACACATGTAATGGCTTACTGTAAAACAACAAGATCATGATGAAATATTGCAGTGCCCACAACTCGACTAAAACCCTTGAAATAAAATAGACAATAATAATGAATCAATGAAACTAAACACTCAATCAGTAATCTTTTCATTGCAGCGATATAAAACCATGAAACCAACAAAAAAAAAACATTTAATAATATGAAGAGAATACCTTCAAGAAGCCAACCGTAACTCCTGCGAGAGACCGAGAGCATCGAAGTCAGCAATGCAGAAGCAGTTGCTGTGTGATAGGGCAACATTGACTCTATACAGCTGCTCATCTCAACAGAAGACCTTCACAACCAGAAAAACCACTGCATTAAAATTAATAAATAGCATTTCCATATAAATAGAGGCATTAAAAAAAATGAATGACGAGTTGGTACGAACTGAACCTGAAGACACGGTGCGACAGAGGTTTCTGTGGCTTGGAGAGGCGAAAGGGAGAGCGAGCGGCTTTGGCCTCCACTGTGAGTCTCGCCGCTGCATTGCGGACGGACGTGGACCGGAGGATGGACCTGCCGCAAGTGACGGCGACTGAAGCCATGGAAGGAGAGACTACAATCTACAGAGACGTGGAGAACGGGGAGATTGGTGTAGATTTGGGGAAGAGTGGAAGTCTGCAGGGGCTTTTAGGCGGAGGCACCTCACGGTAGGGTACCCGATACCCGTACCACAATGTCCTCAGGTGCAAAGTCGGGCGAGTTAAATCGGGTTAGAGTTCGGATATGTCAACGTAACCAGCAATGTGTTATGGTCAACATATCAGGAATCGTCGGGTTGAAGTCAACCCTATGGCAAAGTTGTTGAATCACCAACCCTAATCTTAACCCTGTTACCGAACCATCTGGGTTGGCCCAATTAGTGGTCCAACTTGATGGATCAATCCGAACCCAAATCAATTTAACCCAAAATTTTACATAAGTTAAGTTAGACTTGGTGGGTGTTTGACAAGTCTTTTTATGCCGTCCTTCTCCCTTTCCAAAACTTGGAAGACCAAAATTTGGTCTTTCTCTGTTGGGCAAAAGATTGAAAGACTTGTGCCCTAAAAAGTTCATAGAAGATCAAAATGGCCATGGTCTAAATCTTTAAAGACAAGACCTTAAAAGTTCATACATCTTTTGGCCATTTAGGCCGTTAGAAAATCTCCCTAAAATGACTTGTCAAACAGCATCCAATTGGATTTCCTATCCTTAGGCCAGATGCCTTGACCATAATTGTCAAGGCGACTAGGCAAGGCTAGGCAACCATGGGGCGCCTAGGTGATGGAATCTATAAATATCAAATGACTTGTCAAACAGCATCCAATTGGATTTCCTATCCTTAGGCCAGACACTTTGACCATAGTTGTCAAGGCGATTAGGCAAGGCTAAGCAACCATGGGGCGCCTAGGTGATGGAATCTATAAATATCAAATCTATAGATTTCTATACTTCCTAAAGGACATAAACTATTTTATAAGTTATATTTGTTTACTAGCTACACATTACACTAAGCATAATTAATTCAACATAGCATACAATCAAGTTTTAGACTTCAGATTTTCAAAATAAAGCATAATGCGAAACAACAAATTCAATATTGCAAATTTGCAATATTCATGTATTTCCTAAATGCAAAACAACAAACTCAAATTTCAATATTGCAAATCAGCAAATATTGCAATATACTTATACACAAATAGAAATTAAAAAATCAGTCATACAATCAAAACAAAACTGATAAAAAAAATAAAAGAGCACTAGAGTAGTTCAGCCATGTAAAAAAAATTAATGAAACAAAATAAAACTTAAATCATTTCAAATCTCAGATTTTAGATTTAGCATAGCATACAATCAAGTTTCAGTTCAAATAAAGCATTTCAAACATTTCAGATCAAGAAGAAGAAGAGGACTGACTACGGAGAGGAATATAGTTCCGCACCTGTTTTTTCGAAAAAAAAAAGAAAAGAAAAAGAAAAGGAGGTTTGGCGGAGCCCCTGTTTTTTCAACTAAATTTTGAAGAAGAAGAAGAAGTGACTACAGAAGAAGGGAGGACTGGCCCTAGCCTGACAGATTGTTTTTTTTTATTTTTCGAAAAAAAGGAAAAAAATGTTGAAGAAGAAGAAGAAAAACTTACTTGCCGTTGCCGAAGCTGAGGTGCAATGGAGTTGGGCTAGGGCTCGGTTCAGTTCTCCTCTCTCTCCATGAAGCATATGTATTTTAAAGGAATACAACAACCAATAAAATATCAAACCAATAGATTAAAAAAATAATTATATATATATATAGGTGCCCACCTAATATGTAAAACTTGGGGCATTTAGGCGAGGCGACCATAAAAAAAACCGCCTAGTTGCCTAGCCTTGACAACCACTGTCAAAACTGGACCGGATTGGACGGTTGGACCGGAAAAATCAGACCTGACCGGTTCCGTTTTCCTCCAAAACCATTGATTTTGGTCAGTAAACCGCTGAACCGATAGGTTAACCATTCAAACCGTTCGAACGGTTTTGACCGTTTTTCAAATTTTTAAATTTTTTAAAATTTTTTATTTTTTTATCAGAAGAGGCCAGTCATTTGAGTCAAATGATCGGACCATTCGAACTAATAACCGAACCCCTGACCGATTCAATCACTGATTCATTTTTAAAAACCATGTTGACAACTATGGCCTTGACATAGGCCATATATATATATATATATGAAAATATCATCAATCCTTTTGGCTTAGCCGATGAAAGTCATGTAGTATAACTATTCATTAATCAAAATAAGCATAATACAAAGAGAGTTAACCGATCTGGCACCTTATACCACCAAAAACAAACATCCACAAACGATTTAGCTTTCTGAGCTAATTTAGGAGCTGCCACGGTAAATTTCCTAGATTAATTTATAAACATAATTAACATTATCAAAAATATTGCCAAAAATAAGTATTTGGTCAAAATGCCACTTGACCTCCAAGACGATTCCAAAGTTTGAGACTGGATTTTTCGTAGGACAACCCTTCTTGCATCTGAAACAAAACACGCCAATTTCCACCCATAGTCCTTAGCAAAAGACAGAGCCTTCAAAATAATTCTCAATTCAGCATGTTCAGCATTATCTACTTGATCCAACGGACCACCTGCGTCCATGATAAACTTTCTATTGGAGTCATAAACGTAAAATTCAAAGAATTCTCCACCTGTCTTGTCCAAACCTTTGAATTACATCGAGGGGGTGTTCTTTTTTTGGATTTTGAGAGAGAGGAAAGTTGGTTCCCATTGACAAAGAATCCTATATTTTTATTTCAGATTTATGTGAGGATCAGGGAAAGTTTATTTTTCTGGGTAAGTGATACCCATTTCCTAGGTGAGTAAATAACTTTCCCACCTAGGGGGAAGTTGTCAACACTTGAATGAGACAAAAATGCCCCTTTTAATAATGGATTTTTATGACTAAAATGGTCATTGCCTTATTTACATGAAAAACTAAAGAGCATGGGTAAATGCACTTCCTCGGGTAAGTGTTTCCCATGAAAAACTTACCCAGGTAACTGTATTTGCCCAGGTAAGTAACTTACCGAGCGAACATGGCCTGAATAATAAGTCAAATTCTTTATAAAATTGCTCCTTATTTACATTTAACTAGATTTGAATTCATAACTTGTAAATTTTCATGGAACATTATATAGACAAATCAGTCTAAATTTCCTTCACCTAAACCTTTGGGATTAAAGTCAAGAAAGTATGGTTCATCTTAGTAGGGAACTTTTTATTAACAAAAAAAATTTATCGACAAATTCAATTAACTCATCGATCCCACATTTCACTCCAAAACTTCTGGAAGATCAAAGTTGGATTTCATCGGACAGATAGGGGACTTTAGACTATGTTTGGTTTGAAGGAAAAAGTATGGAAAGGCAGGGAAATTTATACAAGGTTTGTAATGGTTTCCCTACATTGCCCTTCCTTTCCCTACCTTTTCCTTCAAACCAAACATGGCCTTAGGGATCTTATTGACATGACCATCCATTTCACCTCCTTAGAAGGTACATTCAAGAGAGCAGCATTTTTATCATCTGAAATAATAAGATCAAACTGGCTTGGGAAACCTTCAAAATCTAAAAGCCCTTTGACTGTGTTTTGGAAATGATGTGAATGCAAATTGTAAAGCGTAAAATATGTGTGAATGCAAATATGCAAATAAGTGTGAATGCAAATATGCAAATATGTGTGAATGCAAATAAGTGTGAATGCAAATATGCAAAGTTGGGTTAGTTTTGCATTGACAAATTTACCTTCCTAGCAAACAGACTTTTAGCTGTAATGGGTGAAAACATGAATTCCAATAAAATATATGTCTTTTTTTTTTTATCAAAAGCCCATTTGAATGCAAAATTACTTCTTTTCTATTGATGTACTTTTACATCTCATTATCAATGTAAACATGCATTAGAAAATGTGTTTTCTATCATCTATTAATGCATAAATGCATTGTTGACAAACACAGGCAAAACTGAACCAGAATGCAATTTTACCCTAAACCGGGATTTACACTCCATTTACATTGTTTCCAAACACAACCTTTAAACTTGAAGAAAGACTCAAAATTATCAATAAAGCATTTGACAATTTCCATATGATTAGAAGTTTCAATCACCATTATCCAACTTTATCCAATCTATTGAGATCTGTTGCCTCTGATACGATGTAGCTTTATGACTGCCTGAATCCTCGCATCTAAAAAGATTCATTTTCATGATCTAGTAATTTTCTACTCAAGGCACACAATCTTTCTATTAACTCAAATTTTTGGTGTGAGTTTACTGCATTTCTAGATCATTCAATTATTTATTTCATCAGACTTACGATTTTTATGGAATTAATGGTGAAATTTTACGATGTTCTAATTCTCCATCTTATGTTAAAATTTCTAGAGGCCATTGTTTGGCACAGGATAAAATCTGTAACAAGCATGAAAAGGTTAGTTTAAGTGTGAAGGCAGTCACTTCAGGCACAAAAGTGCCAGAGATTCAACGTTAGAGCCATATCCAGTCCATCCCTTCAAAGATCAGATGCATTTGGTCTTTTGGTAGAAGCCTGATTTATTGATTCAGTGTCATTGACATGCCTCAGTCAATAAGTTCATTCCCGATCTCTTCTTTACATTCCCTTCTCTTTCTTCTTCACTTCACAAGATCATCCTACTAAACATACAATTGATGCATGTTAAATCTACTTTATAGAGTAGGAAAGGAGATCCATTTTATCATTTAATTGGTTTGGATGTTGTTAAAATAGTAACAATACAACCTTAATGTGTAAAGAAAAAGGTAGAACTTTAGAAGTTGTTTAAACAGCCAATCAAATAGAGCATTTGAGCAAAGTAGATATCCATCGCAGACTTGCACTCCAATTAAATGCGGCTCTCAGGGATAAGGGCTGAATGATATGATATGAAAACCTACACAAAGACATGCCTTGTTATGGTCAAAGATGAAGCTAGCAATGCCCATGCCATGCAACAAACAACTGTAGCTATTAGGCAAGCTAGCTAATTAAACATCATGAACAAACCAGTATCACATGAATGATAACCAAGCAGGTGGTATGCATCAAAATTCACAGAGGATTGTGAGTGGTCAAAGCTCTTACCATGTCATGTTTTCTATCGTTTGAAGAAAAGTAATCAAAG